TTCGATTTCGGATTTAGAAATTAGTAGTAGGACTGCAGCTGATTGGAATTCTTTTTGTAGGGAAGTGTGCGTGGAATTTTGCGAAAATGATATGGGTATGCTTGGTGGTATGAATGTGATTGTGGAAATTGATGAGAGTAAGTTTGGGAACCGGAAGTATGAGAGAGGTAGGAGAGTGGAAGGAAAAGGGTGTGTTGGTGGGATTGAAAGGGGTAGTAGTAATAAAGTTTTTTTAAGGTTGTGCGAGAGATAGAAGTAAAGATTGTTTATTGAGTTTTATAAAACAATATATTTTACCGGGTACTATAATTATTTCAGATTGTTGGAAATCATATGAATGTTTGGAAGATGAAGGGTTTAAGCATCTTGCTGTAAATCACAAGTATTATTTTAAAGATCCGGAAAGTGGTGCGCATACCAACACAATAGAGGGCACCTGGAGTGGTATAAAAAGCGCCATTCCTAGGCATTGCGACAAGGAGAATTTTGCTTTTTATTTAGCAGAGGAAGTTTGGAGGAAAAATTCGGAAAAAAAAATCGTTCAGTAATTTTATTGAATCCATAATAAAAGTGTATCCACCATGTAAGGAAGATTCGGAAGAAGATTAGGTTAGTTAGACTTTGTTAAGAATGTGAGTAGTATTCAGTTCTGATTACGCATTATTTTGTGTGAGGGAAATGAGAGATCATGGGATACGTCATGTGATATTAATGGACGAATTACTGTTCTTTAATCAGGAAAAATCTGGGAATTTTGTATTTGGCTTTATTCTGTGTTGTGTGAAATAGTGTTTGTGAATTTTTGGATCCCATGGCCGTAAGTAAAGTGAATTCGAAATGGGTATTTAGTGGTATTGAAAAGGATAGTAAGAAATGTTTTTTAAGGCTGTGCAAGAGAGAAATAAAGATGTTTTATTATGTTATTTATTTTACCTGGTGTCTTGCTTTGAAAGATAAGTATGATTTTAAAGATTCTGAAACAGAAGGAAGAAAAGTGTATCTGCCACGTAATCAAGATTCTGAAGAAGATTAGGTAAGTTAGTATTTTAATTATTTTTTATGCATTGTTCTAAATGTAAGGTGGAAAGGAATTTGGTATTATTGGGAAAATTGTTATTAGCAATGATTTAGTTTAAAGTAATTAGGATTGTAAGGTAATTTTTATTAATTTAATGTATGTGTGCTCATTTATATTTTAAGTAGTGTTTTTGAATTTAATTATATTTTAATGAAATGATAGTTATTTTGTGAATTTTATGTTTGTAGGAATTTGGTATACGTTTAAGTTGAAATAAACGTGCATGGAAATAATTTAAATATTTGATATTAAGTATTTGTAATGCCTGCGGTATGAATTCGTTGGTGAGGTGTATAATGTAATAGATGATTTAGAGGTAAAAGTTTTTGGATATTCTATTTATTTTATATGTGGAAATGTTGATATTTGTAAAGGGTAAATACTTTTTCGCGATCAGGTAATTTCATATATGTTCTTTTTACCGGGTTTAAAGATTGAGAAAATTGTCATGTATTTTCGTGAAATTTTTTTAATTTATGAGAAAAAAGCAGTGTACATGGATATAGTGAAGAGTGTGCGCAATGCCATTTTTGTGCAATTCTGGGATGTTTTTTTAAGTAAAAATAAGTCGACGTGTACATGGTTCAGTGATATTTTAATGAAATGATAGTTATTTTGTGAATTTTATGCTTGTAGGAATTTGGTATATGTTTAAGTTGAAATAAACGTGCATGGAAATAATTTAAATATTTGATACTAAGTATTTGTAATGCTTGCGGTATGAATTCGTTGGTGACGTATATAATGTAATAGATGATTTAGAGGTAAAAGTTTTTGGATATTTTATTTATTTTATATGTGGAAATGTTCATATTTGTAAAGGGTAAATACTTTTTTGCGATCAGGTAATTTCATATATGTTCTTTTCACCGGGTTTAAAGATTGAGAAAATTGTCATGTATTTTCGTGAAATTTTTCTAATTTATGAGAAAAAAGCAGTGTACATGGATATAGTGAAGAGTGTGCGCAATGCCGTTTTTGTGCAATTCTGGGATGTTTTTTAAGTAAAAATAAGTCGGTGTGTACATGGTTTATGTGTATGTGTTATTTTAAAAATGCGTAAGGAGGATGGTATTGTGCAGTTTTTCCTAATTTTGCAGTGAATATTTGTCATGATTAAGCAGTTTTGTTTGATAAAATTTCTAACATAAGTGTAATTCGGCTAGTAGATTGTTGGAAGAAGTGTTCAGGAGATAAAAAGAAAAGAAACATGTCTTTACTTCGTGAAGACAAAATGGCGACGGGGAAAAAAAAACAGAGGGTTGCTGTAGGAGAGTTGGTCGCCAAATTTTCGCCAAAAAATCGCCAAGTTACCATAATGTAAAGATCAACCCTTCTTAGTTTTTGTAATAAATCATAATTCTAGCCAGAACGCACCAGAGCCCTGAATAAGAAGGCTGTGGCAGTTCTTTTATGTAACTGAATAACAATTTCAGTAGAAATTTTATCTTGAAAATTTTATTTTAACAATAAAATTATATTAAAAATCGCGTATTAACTTTAAATTTATCTCTTTACATTTTATTTAATTTTAATTATTTCAATAAATAATAATTAATTATCTGATAATTATCAATTAAATTACTATTAATTAATTATCTAATAATTATCAATTAAATTATTAATAATTAATTATCTAATGATTATAAATTGAATTATTATTAATTAATTATCTAATAATTATCAATTAAATTATAATTAATTACTTATATAATAATTACTGATTAAATAACAATTTATAAACATTAATCAGCTATAAATTAATTTGATAATATTTAACTATTTAATTTTAAAATTATTAATGTGTTTAATAGTAATATTATTTATTTACTTACTCTTGTTCCTCTTTGCTGACGGTCTTCCATAGGGCTCCGACCCTTCTAATCTTAGAAATTAAGCCCAGTCGCCAAATTGTTGTTTCATTTATGGTAACCTGAGTAGTTAATGTTTTGGAAACCCTATTATAACCTAATTGGCTACGTGATTGCGGTCAATTTGAATCATGGGAAAAGATTTGGAAAGTGTGCATTGGTTTTTCGATAATTACGTTGTTATTTTGTGGTTTACACGGTAAAATGGCTGAATGTGATACGATTAATTTGAAGTTTCTGTGCGATTTAGAATGAAAGGGCAAAAGCATTAATCGACTGGTGTGTAAATGAAGGTTTACTTAGTAACCATTATTAAGTGTCCTGTTTGTAAGAAGGATATGCATATGGTCGAACGTCGAATGATACAGGCACTACGGGATATATTCTTTACTCTTATTTTTGAGAATTTAAGTGGCAATGCCAATATATAGATTCTAAATCAGATAATTTTTGAGAATTTTAGTGGCAATGCCAGTATACAGATTCTAGATCAGATAATTTTAGGAATTTTTTGGATGCTCTTAAGGAATTTTGTTTGACTGAAGAAAGCTAAATTCCTAAATAATGTAAGTGGATATTTCCTTTGTGTAGCGCTAAGATGAATTTCCTTTTCTTATGTTATTTCATTGCTTGATTTAAAATGTAGTTTATTGAGATTATATATCTTCTGTTGGCTGCTCCTGTGACTTTTTACGTGAATATAGATCAACGTGTACATGGACAAAGTCAAGGGAGTGCACAATGCCTAATTTTTGCAATTCTCTGATATTTTTTGAAGTGAAAAAAGATCGATGTGTACATGGATACCGAGTTTGTGCAATTCTTTGACTTGTTATTTTGGATTTGTGTAGTAGCGATTTTTGCACTGCACAACTTGGTGCCCATGTACCAGCAAAAATCGCCAAGGGGCACCCGTAAATGTATTTTTACCAAATTTTCTTGTCCTCCTTCAGTCTGTGAGACTTAGCAAAAGCTGCTTTGGTTGCTAATTCATTCAACCACAACATTCTTGTACACAAAAACTTATTAATTACTACTTAAGAGAAAATCATAATGCCAATAACTGATTTTATTATTATTATTATTATTATTATTATTTATTTTTTTTTTTTAATTTATTTATTTTGGGACAAGTCATACAAGAAATGTCAGCCTGTAGGAAAAGGTGTATTCCATCTTTTAATGATTAATTTTAGGTATATATTTTTATAGAAATACAAGGATATAAACAAACAAAACTGAATACATTTACTGTTTTTCCATTTTTAGAATTGCATGCCGATTACTGTAATAATCTATTATTTTTATTATTAACATACACTAATTACAACACATGCAATATTGTACACATTAAAATAATAAGTAAGTATTATTAATTATTATAACATTTAAAATACCTTTTTATTACATTTTTAACCAATTTCAGCCATTGTGAGAACAAAAACTATTTTCTGCTGTTAATAATAAGTAATCATTTTTGGAATGACATAAAAGCTAAAAACATAAATCAAAAGTGCACTAATGTATTTCAAAATGCCAAAGATAAAACAAACACATTAAAATAATAAAGGATCATAACATTTTCAATAAATATGAAAGTATCGTAAAAAATCAATAAATATAGTAGTCAAAGTCTGATAAACGAATTTCGGCTGTTCAGAGTAATATTTCGATTTAGAAACACGCAAAGTTTCATATTAAGATCCTATTAAAAAACAACTCGCCGCTTTCTGGTATAGTACCAGTTCAGTATTTTCTACAACTGATTCTCTTTAAACATACATAATATTTTCTCGGAAAACTCATGCCATTGTATAATTCACTAATACTAAATTTTCATAAAGGAAGCAATCAACTACAGGTAACCAGAATAAATTTTCAGTGGAATTAATACAATACGCCCCACTGATAAAGTTCCGGAATTGCTCAAATTTCAGTATAACTACTCAATTTCAAGCAATTATCTTACAAATTTATTCTTTAAATCAAGCAAACTCTTTTGAGATATTTAAAAAAGTAACAGAAATTAAAATATATAATAAACAACATACTGATAACACCATCGTCAACTTTATTCATATCCCAGTCTATTCCGTCAATAATCATTTTAATCGTAATGTTGTACACCTATAATTTATACAAACAACTTATACATTAAGTTTTTAATTAAATGACTATTTTTTCTATAGTACAAATTCGCCGCACCACACTACCTCTCCCTCAGCCGCACAGTCGTTCAAAAAAAAATAAAGAGGAAAACACAAACAACTTCGAACAAATCATTCAGGCACTCTTTTGACTACTGGGCGCAAGTGTTTACGCATGTAATTTCGGAAACGATACGGAGATTACTTGGATGTACGGTAATCTACAGTGGGGCCAGACATCAGGGTACCCCTCATCGAACATATTATAGTATAGTTTCGAATATATGTGAATTATAACTGAATGCATTAACGAACATATCTTAAAATGTTGTGGATATACATAATTATCAGGTAATGGTACATAATTTTTTAACAGCATATCTCATAACGTAGTAACTTAAAGCAATATTCTGGATAGAAAGCCAGTCAAGCACAGAAGCTGTCAAGTGGTAGAGCTGGAAAGAGAACATAGACAAACATGGCAAAACAAAAGAGGTAAGTGCGCTTCTTTGGTGCCGCTAAACTGACAACATGCATGATACTAAAAAATAATATATAATACAATAACAGTACAGAAATTTGTAGATTATATATGTATAATAATAATCAGTCATTACACACAGAAATTAATGTAGGTTAACACACATAATGGCCCGCGGGCGGTTAATATTCATAGGATTATTTACATCATAGTTATACTTAGTTATCGCAGGATTGTCAATAGCCTCCTGCTTGTCACGAAAATTCCGCGATAGGCGGCTGTAATAATGCTTGAGTTCCTCAAGTTTTAGCTCCTTGTGGAGCTGTCTATTCCTAACATACCATGGGGCATTGCAAATTTGTCTAATTGCCCCATTCTAGGCTGCTTGCAGTCTTTTTCTAAGTGATTTACAAGAGTATGCCCATATCGGGCAGGCATAACTCAGAATGGGGCGTAACATAGATTTGTAAATGAGCAACTTGTTATCTATAGATAGAACGCTGTTTCGAGCAATTAAGGGGAAGAGTAAAGCTTTACTAGCTCGAAACATCTTTATAATATTTGTAATGTGTGGATTCCATGTAAGAGATTTAGTGAGGATCACCCCAAGATAAGGGACCTGCTTGACCCAGGGGATGCTTTCTCCATACATCTGCAGGCAGACTGGAAATTTCTTTTTAGTTGTAAACAATATAGCATAAGTTTTCTCAACATTAACCTTAATTCTCCACTTGACAAGCCAAGCCTCTAATGCCCGGATGTGTTCTTGTAAGTGTTGTATAGCTGAACCAACAAATGCGCTTTGTGTAAGGATCGCAGTCTCGTCTGCATACATTGCGAGTGTCGTGTTGGGTGTAGTGGGTATGTCGTTCAGGCCGATGCTATTCGCACCACCGGTGCGATTAGCTGCTTAAGCTATTCGCACCAACATTAACCACGCATGCGCATTGAGTTGTCAAAGGCGGGTTTCTACCTTGGCGTAATTTATCATTTTTAAGCGTAGGCAACTTTCAAAAGTTTAGAAAGGAAAATGGGTTCCTTTTCTTATAAAAAGAAATAAAACATTTCCTTTTATTAAAGTATATATAAAAAAGGGAAGATTTTTAGGTTCGCAATGTTTATCCTTTTCCTGAACGGTTTGAATAGTTTAAATGACTGATTTGAAGGGGGGGCAAAATCGTGTTGACATTTTTTGTACTTCTTAGAATACATTTAGCTTTAAAGATGTGTTTTGCGCAATCAAGCCTTTAATTCATTCCTCTTTGAAAAATTTCGTCCGATAAAAGATACTAAAAATTAGACAGAGGATTTCTGTGTAGAAAATTTAGACATGAAATAAGTTAAAAGTGATTATATGAACTATTAAATGAATTATTCTGTATGCCTGCTTATTTTTTTATGGAAATACTTGGCATTTTCAGGACACAAAAAGTGCTTCAAAGAACTTTGAAATATTAGTACAAACACATTAATCAATTAAATTGAAATAAATAATGGGATGTAATTTAAAAGACAGAAATCATTTAATGTAAGAGATTTAGATTTAAAAATTTGCACACACAAATGATTTATCGGATTTTGTAGGGTTTTATTTCATAAATAACTTTGATTTTGAAATATGGCATTTGAACCTATAAACCTGTGTGGATACTGAAAAGTGATGAATATATAAGAATATTATCATTTTCAGTAAGTTTTCTTATTGAATAATAAATTCTGACAGTCCTATGCTATAAGAATAGGGTCTAAGTTTGCATAAAAATTCCTCTGTTAAATAAAAGAATTTAAGTAATTTCTGTAGCCTTTTTGTCAATACACTAAAGATTTTTTAACTAATTACTCGCCCTCGCTTGCAATTAGAACCATCATTAAATCCCTATTTTATCTAATCATTTCCTGAACATTATCATGCATATAGATTGACCTCGTCTTTGTAACTGATAATTATTACTTGCAAACTATTCTCTTGCTGGTGAACTATTAACAACCCTTTCTATTGCTGAATTAGGGTTGATAACCTTCGCTCTCACTACCGCCTGCCTTGCGGAACTCGGCGTAAAATGCTGGTACCTGGGCTGCTTGTGCGCATGCGTGAACGTAGGTGGTGTGAATATCCTGTTAGCTATTCGCACCGTCGGTGCGATTAGCCACTGCGTGTCGTTCACATAAATGTTGAATAGAGTGGGGCGCAAAAGGGACCCTTGTGGTACGCCAGCTCTTATAGGGCGGCTGGTGGATAATGTGCCAAATACGTGAACGACAAAGTGTCTACCTGTTAGGTAGGATTTGAACGTATGTGATTGCCTGGTAACCCCAGGTTGTGTAACTTGTAAATGAGTGCGTCTTAGCCACACACGGTCGAAAAGCCTTTGCTATGTCCAGAAACAGACCTCCAGTCACTCTGCTTCTTTGTAAGCCATCACTGATCATTCTCACAACTCTATAAAGCTGGTGGGTGGTTGAGTGCTTCTGACGAAAACCGAATTGGTATGGAATGATGACCTTATGCTCCTCCAGATATTTATTCAATCTGCTCAGTATTATTGCTTCCATTAGTTTACTGACAGAGCTCAGGAGGCTGATGGGACGATAGGACTCAGGTGCAGTGGCTGGTTTGTGAGGTTTCAGTATTGGCGTAATTTGAGCAGTTTTCCAACATGCCGGAAAGTATTGCCACTGTAAGATGCAGTTAGCCAGCTTGGTGAAATAACATATGGTTTTTGATGGAAAATTCTTGATCATCTGATTGGAAATACCATCCAACCCAGGGCTCTTTTTCCTTCTCAGCCTTTTGATAACTGCAGACCTCCGACGGCATGACTAAGATTATGTTGTCGGTGTATGGGCTTGTTGTGTAATTGTGATGAAAGTCAGCAATAAGCTGATCTGTGTTGTTGTCTGAAGTGTTGTTCACACAGAACTAAAATTCCAGATGCTGCGCTAAAAGTTCTGCCTTCTCAGCTCCAGTGTAGTGGATCCCTTGAGGCCCGTTAAGGGGCGGAATGGACTTGTAGCATTTTTTATACCTTTTCACAGCTTTCCATAAAGAGCTATCCTCACAGGAAAGTGATCCCTGGTAGCTGGTCCAGCGATCTTGTGCAAGTTTGTTGTTAAGAGACTGACTGCCTCACACAGTTTGGTTGAAGTACCGTTTGTCTTGTGGGTGCCTTGTTCTCTGGTATTGCCTTCTGGCTGCATTCCTTTCTTTTAACAATAGATGTAACTCTAATGGTTTGAAGGCCTTTCTCAGGTTTAACGTCTATCCTTGCTTTCTCATAAGCAGATTGAACTTGGCTGGTGAATTCCTTAACCAAACTATCAATGTCATCCCCCGAATGTATCGTTGGAATCGTGTACTGAATGTTGGTTAGAGCTTTGGCAAAAATTTGCCAGTCGGTGCGAAAGGCTCTTCTGTCTGTGTAGTTAAAACTTGCTGAGGTCCAGAATAATTCTGACCGGATTATGATCAGATGACAATCATCCAGCACAGAAACATCCAGCGGACTGCTGGTGTTTCTGAGCAGGAAGAAGTCAATTGTTGCAGCTGACCCAACAGCATACCGTGTTGGGGTTTTTGGAACTGCTATAATAAATCGAGCCGAACCGGCTAAACTGTAAATTAATTTGCCTGTAGCATTTGAGGTGTAACAGTTCCACGCGCGGTGTCGTGCATTTAAGTCTCCACCTATGACAATATGTGTTCTAAGTATCAGTAACGTATCAAGGTCTGCCTGAACAGCAGCCACTGGTTTCATTGGTGGTTTATAGGTGGAAACAAACGTGTATGTTATGTTAGTGTCTTTTGTGATTCAGATAGCTGTGGCCTCAACGACCGAAAGCTGTGGTATTGTTACATGATTATGAGGGATGCAGCGTTTGATATGGAGCGCTGTTCCTCCTCCTCTTGGTCGTACAGCATTGGCATTTCTCTTAGATCTGTAGGTGCTATAATTCGCAACATTAATTGGTATTTTTGGGTGAAGCTTGTGTTCCTGTAGGAAAAGTAAGTCGGGGACGTGCTCATTTACAAACTCCCTGAGGTCATTGATTTTACGATACAATTCGTTCGCATTCCAAGTAATTATGTTTAAATACTTATATACAGTACAATTCATAGTTAAGCAGTTAAAGAAGAACTGAAAACATCATCTAACACGTTATACAAGATGAAACAGTTTATCAATAGTGTGTCTCCGTTGCCCTTAACTCAGGCATTACTGCGGAGATTTTTGCTAAAACAGTAACAAAGGAAGTTGCTTTGAACATGTGAAAAATTTCTTTAAACACTTTAAAAATATCGGTAAAAGCATTAACATTGCTGCTACTTGCTGCCACATCAGTCCTGTTGTTATTTACAGTCCTAGTACTAACATGATTAACACTATTTACATTTTTTACATCTTGTTTTGCTACGGAAGCCGCAGCAGGATTAACAGTTGAACCTTTGGCCACACTGGCGTAGCTTCGGCCGGGGGCCACCATAGCAGAATGAGGCGCACTGGGTGCCTTGACATCAGCATTTTTAACATTATTTGTACTAGCTGACTTAACGCCGTGCGTCGTACTGGAACAGCCGTGCGTCGTACTGGAAATTTAGGACAACCACGGTAATTTGCCGTGTGCCCTGATTGTAACCAATACAGCAAACTGGCGTTTTTTTTTAACATTACACATTGTAGTTTTGTGCACCCGCGCATTTTTACGCAGCGGGGCTGCAATTTGCAATTTCTCACTGAGTGGTGGAAGTGTTGGCAGTTGTGACACTACACAACACCTCCACGCACTTGTATGATGTACTTCTACATAAAAACATAAATTTTTATTTACATCATAAATGCTTTGCACCCCTGGTATGTTATCGAGGCGAGCCTGAAATAACGGCATCGGGGCCCTAGATCTAGTTTTCTCATTGAACCACTTTCGT